ACCAAGAACCCAAAAGCAAACGCAATAAAAACAAAGATAAATTGCTGGGACTTAGTTAAACTAAAGAGCTTTTGTACGGCAAAAGGAACAGTCAGCAGAGTAAACACACAACCCACAGAGTGGGAAAAAAATCTTTACAATATCAATCTATACATCTGACATACATCTGACAAAGGACTAACATCCAGAATCTACAATGAATTCAAAGAAATAAAAGTCATTTTATGAAAAAGATACTTGCACATGCATGTTTATAGCAGCATCATTTGGAATTGCAAAAACGTGGAACCAACCCAAATGCCCATCAATCAACGAGTGGATAAAAAACTGAGGTATATGTATCTCAGCCATAAAAAGGGATGAATTAATGGCATTCGCAGCAACCTGGATGAGATTGGAGACTATTATTCTAAGTGAAGTAACTCAAGAATGGAAAAACCAAATATCGTATGTTCTCACTCAAAAGTGGGAGCTACACTATGAGGATACAAAGACATAAGAATGACACAATAGACTTTGGAGACTCAGGAGGAAAGGGTGGGGGATAGAAGACTACAGATAGGGTGCAGTGCATACTGCTCGGGTGATGGGTGCACCAAAATCTCACAAATCACCACTAAGGAACTTACTCATGTAACCAAATACCACCTATTCCCCAATAATTTATGAAAATAAAACAAATTTTTTAAGGAAAAAAGTTTTAATGGAATGAAAGCACAGTATATGAAAAGCTGTGAGGTGTAACTAAAACAGTGCTTAGAAGGAAATGTATAGCAATATACACCTAATTAGAAATAAGAAAGATCTCAAATCAATAATCTAAGCTTTTATCTTAAGAAAGTATAATAAATAACAAATTAAACCTAACATAAGCAGACAGCAGAAAATAAAAATAGGAGCAGAAAGCAATAATGCTGAAAACAGAAAAACAATACAGATAGGCAACAAAACAAAAAGCAGTTTGCTTAAAATAAACAAATTTGATAAGCCTTTATCCAGATCAAGAAAAAAACAAAGAAGAGTGAAGACTCAAATACCAGCATAAGGAATGAAAAAGGGAACATTGCTATAAATCATACAGACTTTAAAAGGCTAAGAGAGAATATTATGAACAACTTTATGTCCATAAATTCAACCAGTTGGGTTATAAGACTAGTTTCTTAAAAGGTATATTCGAGAAGCCATGGATAATCTCAATCATTTGTATCTTATTTAAAATATTTAAATTTTAGGTAAAAACCTTTCTATAAGGAAAATTCAAGGCCACGATGTCATCACTGAGAAGATTTAGGAAAAAATAACACCAATTCTACACAAACTTTTTCAGAATATGGAAAAAGAGCAACCACCTCCCAACTCATTTTATACCAGCATTATGCTGATACCAAAACCAGAGATATTGCATGACAAGAAAATTACAAACCAGCATTCCTCATGAACATAAATGCAAAATTCATCAACTGAATATTTAAAAAATTGAACCCAGCAATATATAAAAAGGACAATACATTAGGATCTTACCCTGGGAATGCAAGACTAGTTTAACATTTTAAAAATCAGCACGCCTGTAATCCCAGCACTTTGGGAGGCCGAGGCGGGCGGATCACGAGGTCAGGAGATCGAGACCATCCTGGCTAACACGGTGAAACCCCGTCTCTACTAAAAATGCAAAAAATTAGCCGGGCAAGGCGGCGGGCGCCTGTAGTCCCAGCTACTCGGGAGGCTGAGGCAGGAGAATGGCGTGAACCCGGGAGGCGGAGCTTGCAGTGAGCCGAGATCGCGCCATTGCACTCCAGCCTGGGCGACTAAGCGAGACTCTGTCTCAAAAAAAAAAAAAAAAAAAATCAGTCAGTATAATTTACCATATATGCAAACTAAAGAAGAAAAATGAGGGCATCTCATCTGATAAAATTTAGAGTCCATTCATAATAAAACAAAAACAAACAAAACTCTCAGCAAGCTAGAAACAGAAAGGACCACTCTCAAACTGATAAAGGGAATCCACAAAAACCCTATATCTAACATCATATTTAACAGTGGGTGACTGAATAATTTCCCCTAAAATGGAAAGCAAGGTAAGGATGTCTGTTCTCACCACTTGTATTCAAAATTGTTTTGGAAGTCCTAGACAGTGAAATAAGACAAGAAAAATAAATAAAAGGTATACAGGTTAGAAAGAAAAAAAACTGTCTCCATTTTGCAGACATCATAACAACCTATATAGGAAATTCTAAAGAATCTATTTTTAAAAGCTACTAGAATTAGTAAATGAGGTTAGCAAGGATACAGGATACAAAAATCAGTTTATCAAAGCAATTGTATTTCTATATACTCGCAACAAACGTTTTTCAATTAAAAATAAGTATCATTTCAAAGAAAGAATCATTTACAATAGCAGCTAAAAATATTAAATACTTAGGTTGAAATATTTTTAAAATGTGCAAGATCTGTATTCTGAACACTACAAAACTTGGATGGAAGAAATCAAAGATCTGAATAAATGGAGATATATATTATGTTTACAGAAGCTTATATTTTTAAGATGTCAATTATCCCCAAACCAGTCTATTGATTCAATCAACCCAAAAATTTTCAGCAAGATTTTTTGTAGACATCAATAGGTGATTCTAAAATATATATAAAAACTAGCATAGCCAAACTAGTTAAAAACAAATAAATTTGGGGGACCCATGTTACCTTACTTCAAGGCTTATTATAAAGCACAATAATCAAGATAATCTTATATTGGTGAAAAGATAAACATCTAAACCAACTGGTCAGAGTAGAGAGTCCACAAATCTAACCACATATATACCATTGATTGATTTTGGACATAAGTTCAAAGGCAATTCAATGAAGAAAGGATAGACTTTCAAAGAATGGTGCTGAAAGAACTGGATATTGATATACCAAAAACAAACAAAGAAGAAGAACATGAACTCATACTTCTATAAAACATGTAAGAGAAAAATTTTGTTACCCTGAGTTAAGCAATGAGTTCTTAGATATAAAACCAAAACCGCAATCTAATAGATAACTTGGGCTTCACCAAAATTAAAAATGTCTGCTCTTTAGAAGACAGCGTTAAGAAAATTAAAACAAACAAAAAAACAAACAAAAAAACACAGACTGAGAGAAAAGATTTGCAAAGTCCGTATCTGACAATAATAAATGGCTGATACGCAGAATACAGTTAACCCTTGAACAATATGGGTTTGAATTGTGCGAATCCACTTACACGCAGATATTTTTTCAATCAAATGCTGAAAATACAGTATTCACAGTATTCATGGGATACAAAAACTATGAAAATGGAAGGCAAACTTTTCCTTCAGACAAGTTCCCCAGGGCAAACTGCAGGACCTGAGTAAACTCTGATTTGGTAATAAACAGGGGCCCTGGAACCACTCCCCTGCAAATACTGAGACTGTATATAGAACTCTTGAAACTCAGAATAAGAAAACAACTACACAAAAAATGGCCAAAAATTTTAACAAATATATCATCAAAGAAGCTATCTGAATGGCAAATAAGCAAGTGAAAAGGTGTTCAATATCTTTCATCATTATGGAAATGCAAAGTAAAGCTACAATAAAATACAACTATACACCTAGTAGAATGGTTAAAATAAAAGAAAATCTCACAATACCAAATGCATGTGGAACAACTGGAGCTATAATACACCGCTGCTGGGAATAAGATATACAGCTATTTTGGAAAACAGTTTGGCATTTTCTTACAACATTAAACATACGCTTACTAGACAACCAAACAATCTCACTCTTGGGTATCTGCCAAAGAGAAATGAAAACCTATGGTCACACAAAAATCTGTCTCTTAGTTTCTTTTCTGTTGCTATACTGGAATAACTGGGACTGGGTAATTTACTAAAAAACAAAATTTATTTCTTACAATTCTAGAGGCTAAGTTGAGGGGCCAACTTGTGGTCCAAGGTTGAGGGGCCACATCTGGTGAGGGCCTTCTTGCTGGTGGGGACTCTCTGTAGAGTCCCAAGGTGATGCAGGGCATCACATGGCCAGTTCAGGTCTCTCTCCCTCTTCTTATAAAGCCACCAGTCTCACTCCCATGATAACCCTTTAATCCATTAACAAATGAATGGACTAATCCATTCCAGAGGGCAGAGCCTTCATGACCCAATGACCTCTCACAGACTCCACCTCCCAATCCTGCCACATTGGGGATTAAATTTCAACATGAGTTTTGGAGGGGATGAAAATTCAGATCATAGCAACCTGCATTTGAATGTTTACAGCAACTTTATTCATAATCACAAAAATGCAAATATCCCAAATGTCCTTTGACTAGTTAATGATAAATAAAGTGTGGTACATTCATACGTTATAATACCACTCAGCAATAAAAAAGGAACATGCTATGGCTGTGCACAACATGCATATATCCACAATGAATCATGCTAAGTGAAAGAAGCCATATTTGAAAGGCTACATACTGTATTATTCTATTTATATGACATTCTAGAAAAGGCAAAACTATAGAGACAGAAATCAGATCAGTGGCTGCCAGGGAATGGGGCTGAGGGGTCAGACTTGATGATGAAGAGGCATGAGGGAACTTTTTGGAAAGATGGAAATGTTTTACATCTTGATTGTAGGGAGAGTTACATGAACATCTATATTTGTTAAAACTGAGAGTACTGTACACTAGAAAGGGTGAATTTCACTGTATATAAATCATATCCCAATAAAATGTCAGTCTGAACAAAAATCTAAAAATCTAAAATGTTTATAGTAAGCAGCGGGTCAAAATAGTAAAAAGTGAAAATAAATTAGTCCCCCATTTCCCCACGTGACCTGATATTCACAGCTCATAAGACCGTGCGCTGTCTTCCGGGTGGGAAAATGTTTGGGATCCCAAGAACTCAGGTCAGACCCATCTCTGCAAAGCAGGTGGTGGACAGCTTCTCAGGGGTGGGGCCAGTTTCTGCTGTGTGACCCTGTTCCTCTCACTCCTGCCTGCAGGCTGCCTTCAGACTGATGCCCTGTGGGCGCTGAGCTCCCGCTGCACCTGCTCCCAAAGATTCTCCTGATGTCATGTGGCTGAGCCTTTGTAAGAGGGGATTCATAGCAGCCTCCCGACGCTCATGGTAAGGTAGGTGCTTGTGGTAGGTGCCGCAGCCTTCGCCAGCCCCCAACTTTAGAGTGAAGCTCCAGTTGACCCTCAAAGTTCCTTGAAGCAAACCTCTGTGTAAGTGAAAGGGTCCCAGAGCCACCACAGTGGGGGCAGGTGTCTTGGTGGCAGCTTAAACTGTTTTGCAGCCTGTGCTTTTAGGAACCCAGGCCAGGAGTTAAGACTCCTGCTGTTAACAGTCACTTTATCCTCTCCGCCCACACCACAGAGCCTGGCAGGAAGGCAGTCCAGAACAGTGGGTCAACAGATGTACACGGTCTGCTGAGTGGAGACCCACCAGGGAGGACTAAGGCGGTGGAAAAGGCCACTCTGCCTAGACTTTGAATTCCTCAGTTCCTTGGGGCTAAACATAACACTGCTTCCTCAGTGGAGCCCCTCTTCCCTTGCATTTATAAACCTTAACTCATGCATTGATGCCATTTAACCACCAGGTAGCTAGCTAGAACTGAAAATGTAACCTTTAATTTGAAGGCCTATACTTGAAGAAATTGCTTGTCTGCAGTGCTGAGGTTCTGGGAAGGTAGCAATGAGAAGGAGGGATTGAAAGAAGGGAGAGTCACAGCTGAAAAACAGAATCTGGTGCCTCTGTGCTCTGTAATGTCTCATCTTTCCTTTCCAGAAGCCCCCAAGCTCTGACTTAGCTAAAATTATTTTGGTTCATTCGGCCACGCCTCAAGATGTTCGGCCAGGACACTTTGATTGGACTGAAGGGAAATGGGTTATTTAAGTGGCCCGAACTTCAGAACAAGATGTGTGTTTATACCTATTCTGTTGCTCCATTTCGGCTCCATCAGATGATAGAGAGAAAAGACTTCCTGGGCTCTCTATAGCGGAAACCTGTTGGCAAGGCAAAGACCACCTGGCCCCCGGCCAAGCCCAGCAGAGATGCTGCTTGAGAGAGACAAGTCAGTGAGCATTTGTGCAGGCTCTGGTACCTGGAACAAAAATACGCCGAGCGGCAAATTATGGCTTTCAGATGTCACCACTGCCATCTGACATTGTGTTTCAGCTGTTCACGTCTTCATTACTGTGCTGCAGCCTCCCATTAAGGCTGTTACTGTGTGTGAGACACATTTATGTTATGTGGTTTTCTGTACACCCCAAGCAACAACGCTCACCAAGGGTTATCAGGCTGATTGCCAAAACCCTATGGTGGAGATGCTCTGAGTCTATAGGTTGCTTTGTGGGCGTCCCTGTGTGCATGTGTGTGTGTGTATGTGTGTGTGTACATCCCTCCTCCATGCCCCATCTTGTAACAGCTGAAAGGAATCAGCCTCCACACTACAGGAACTTGTTCTTTGTGTGGTTTTCTCATCTCCCTTTGCTCCCTTACGGCCCCCCCTCCTGGCCCATCTGCCAGATCCTTCCTCCCCCTCTCTCTTGCTCCTCTTTGAGGTGGTAACCAGACCAACACAGCAATGCCCTTGTGACTCCCTTTTCAGTTTCTCAGCCTCACTCAGATTAATGGAACAGAAACATGTGCTTGCATCTGATGCCAGTAATCATATCCTGAGTGACCACAGAGAGAGAGATTAAGCAAAGGTACTGGCCCGGTCCCGGGGGATACGGTTACAGGAAGAAAGTGTTTCTTGACAGCAGCCGCTCTGGCTCCCTCTCGCTTGCCCTCCTTCATTCCTAGCTAGGCTCATTAAGTCCCTTGAATATTTTCCATAAGATTAGTTAAAATCTACCCAGCAATGGTCCAAGTCACTTAAGAACTGGGTTTTGATCTACATTCTGATCTTTACTCATAGATGTGAACAGAGCATATTTCCATATTCTTTACTTTGATTTAGTCCCTGTGATTATATATTTTGGATGTGTGTTTTCAAATAGTGAAAGGTAAACAAGTGTATGGTTATCTAGTCTGATGACTTAAGTCAACAAGTATCAACTGTAAGCAAATGACTCCTTTAGTAGGACAACATCCTTGGCCCAGGGGCAGGGCAATGAGGCACATACTCAAATACTGTGACATGAGATTAAGTGTGATGAGTGTGCAGGGATAAACTGAGTGAAGCCAGGGAGAACAGGGAAGGAAAAGCACTCCTGGCTGGGGAAACCCTGGGAGGCATCCTGGAAGAAGTGGTATTTGAGATGACCCTAAAGGGAAAGGTAAGATTTTGGTAGATGTAAATAAAAAGAAAAGGCATTACTTGAGAAAGGTCCAGCTTGAGCAAAAGCCTGGAGTTGGGAAGGCAGAGTGTTTCGAGATGAGTGGGAATTTGAGGTAAACTGCAGAAATGTGTACCTATAGGGAAAGTGATGGAAAGTGGACTGAGAGAGCCTTGAACTATGATGAGTGTAAAGCCAGGCTTAGGACTTATTATCAGCAGTGGGAGCCATTGCAGGTCTTAGAGCAGGGAGACACAACATAGTGCTTTCCTGATGGAACTTGAAGAGTGTCCTCAAAGAAGCACAGACAATAGATTGTGGGGAAAGGGGTGCGGGAGGAGGAGAGAGTAGAGATGGATCCCTTAGGAGGTTACAGCAATGGTCTGAAAAAGAGTAGAATATAAGCACTTGATGGGAATACAAACATCGTGATATAGGAGAGATATGGAAAAGACAGAACTTGCAATTGGTTGGATCTAGGAGGTAAGGCCACTGGGTAAGCCAGAGATGACGCTGAGATTTGGAGACTGAACACTGGAGTGGCGGGCTCTTAGGAGAGGAGGATAGAAGGGAGGACAGAACTGGAGCAGAAAATGACCCATTCCGTTTGGGATATTTAGACATTCAGAAGAGGCACCCGAGACCTGGTGCCCGACAGGGGTTGGAGCTCAGAGCTGGTGCTGACAAGAGAGGCTGGAAGTGAGGACCATCTGCACGGAGGTGTCAGGTGAGGCCCAGGGTAGGTGAGATAACGAAGGAGGCAGCACAGAGGGAGGGATGCTACGCTCAGATCCTTGGGGAGGCACACACATTAAAAAGTGAAAACAACGGGAGTTTCCTGCCACGGAAACCCAGAGGGGAGAGATTTCCTGTGGAATGCTGAACCAGCTGAGGATGAGGACTGGGGCAAGGCTGCCGGATTTGTGGCTGAGGAGGAGGTCCTTGGAGTCCTTCCTGGGGCTCCATCAGGAGCGAGGTGGGGCGGAAGCCGGATTAGAAGCCCCGAAGAGCGAGTGGGTGATGAGGAAGTGTAGGCAGCAAGTGTGTTTCCTGAAGAGCTTTTAAAAATAGGACGGAGGCCCCTCATTTGTGCATAGTTTGAGGGCCTCCTGCCAGGGAAATCCAGGAGACTACGGAGGCTGTGAGGGGCCAAAAGCCACCATCTCTCGTGGTGTTTGTAAGATTCCTTCCAAGCCAGCAACCCTGATACGTTGGTTTCCTCATGGTAGCAGGTGAGAAAGTGGTTGTATTTGTTGTCAGCAGGTACTTGTTAATGTCACAAACCAGACCTCTCCTTCAACGAGGTCCAGAGCAGATTGCCCCGAGGAATGAGCACTGACTTGGAGTTTTCTAGACTGTTATGCATCTGGTTTTAGGGGCCACCATAAAGGGGTGACTGTGGAGGAATCACTGCTTTTCCAGGATATTGGCAGGACTTGCACGAAGGATAAACAAAGAGGCATGTCAGCTTCCAGGGTCTCTTTTCTGTTTCTCAGAAAAAAAAAGAGTCTAACCTTTTGAAGACAGACTTGAGGTTAATTGCTCTTTCCTCAGGAGAGCCTGCCAAAGAGAAAATGAACCCGGTAAGTGATGTGTCAGTGCCCTAGAAAGTCAGTTGATTATCCTGGTTTAGGGACAGCAGGGACTCAACTGCCTCCCATGGAAACGCTCTCCTCTCCCTCACTTCTCACAGGTGACCCTGACGACCCACCACCCCAGCTGTTCTCCATCACCTGACAGTTGAGCCTTCAAGATGCTGGCGAGTTCTGCCTGTGCATGGCTTTGACCAGCTCCAGCCAGAAAGAGGAACTTTCAGAGTCCAGGTTTGGGGCCTGTGGATGAGTTACCTGTTACCAAGAAAGGTTACTGAGTCTCCATCACTCATGTGGGAATGAGGCCACTTCCTACTGACAGATCCTGTAGCTATTTATGGAGAGTTTTGGCCTTTCAGCATCCAATCCCTTTCAATCAGGAGGAGTTCTCCACTGCATATTATCTCAGAGGGTCCCAATGTACCACCTCCTGCTGTAGATGCCAAAGCTGGCGTGGGGGAAGCAGGAGGTGAGAATGCAACTCAGGATCAGTCAACCACATGGGACCCTGAATCTTGCAGGAGAGGCAGAAAGAGGCAGATGTGGTTTATAAATTATTGGCAGTTATTGAAAGTCTAGAGGTGCGGCATCGAGTGTCCAGCATGGTGACATCTCACTCCAGTGTTCTAATTACTTTCTCCTGTAGCGAACTGGGCTCTGGTTCCAGCTCCCTGGCCTCCCTTGCTTTCTGTGTATTTCCTGGGCCTGGCCTTCCAGTCTTTCTGCCTTGCAGTGAATTTTCCTTTCACCAAGTTAGTCAGACTGGGTTTCTGTTGCTTGCTGCCAAGAACCTTGACAATGTAGAACAGCGAAGAGATGTGCTGTCAAGGCCTGAGCAACAGGTTCAACTGGACCCAAGACACGAACACTGTATGAAAGTTACCCTCCTGCAAGCGACTCGGAATGTCAATCCTCCAGTGAGAGAGACAGAGAATAAATAAATGTCTATACATAAATACACACACTCACACGCGCACACATATGTCAGGTGGTGACAAGAGTAAAGTACAATGAAGGAGTAGAGAGTGAGTGGGCAGTATTTTAGATGGGGTGGTGAGGGTAGACTGTTTGGAGGAGGGGGTGGTGAGCAGCGGCCTGAATGGAGTGAAGGAGCAGCCAAGTCGGGTACTCAGAAGAGCCTTCCAGGCAAAGGGAGCCCCAAGAGAAAAGATGCCGAGGCAAAAAAAAAAAAAAAAAAGTGTCACTTCTGTGTCTCTCCTGCTGGCACTGCTTCCTGGGAGCAGAGACTCTGCCTGTTTTCTTCACATACACCAAGCCTAGGACACTTTCTGTCATGTAAATATCTGTTCATGAGTGAACATCTGCCTGGCACGCAGGGTACAGTTCTTCACACATCATTTGCAGGCCTTCCCGATTTGCCTACAGTGGGGCATAGGATGGGAAGGAACTCGTCAGGAGTAGGTTTCAGACATGGGACCTGGGTGAGACAGGATAGGTTACCTTAGTTGTCCCCTGAAACTCAATATGATCCTCATGTAGTTGTCAGGAGGGGTTATATTATTTCATGTTTGTAAAGGTCTTAGCACCAAGGGCACAGGCCTTTATGTTCTAGAGGTTGGCTATTATTATTACTATTCTTACCAATCAATAATAAACTGTAAATCTATATATATCTATGCCCATTTGAACTTGGCCTGTTATTTCTTTGTATTGAATTTATAAAGCAGTGATCAAATATTCATGTTATTTATCTGCTAAGGAACAAATACAGGCAGTCTCATTCACAATACTGTTATGCCTTAGCTTATCTGCTGGGACCCTAGAACTTCCAACCCCTTTTCTTGATTCACAAGCAAAGTCAAGGGTGGTCTCTGGCCCCTTGGGCACTTGTTTATTCCCCTGAAGGAGAGGAAATAGAATCCATTAGAATCCAGTATGGAGCTTCCTCAATGGGGAATCCCTGTCCCCTACCCCACTGTCCCCTCCCCTCATCCCTGCCTGTGGAAGTTGGGGACTAGGGTCTCAGATGGCGGCTGTGTTTATGGGAAAGGGGCTCCACAGGCCTCCAACCCCAGCTCTGGATTGACCCTCCTCCTCATCCCCCCATCATTCTCTTCTCCTCCTACTTCCCCACTCTCCTCCCCTTCTCCTCCTCCTCCTCCTCCTCCTCTTCCTCTTCTGACTTCGAAGCCTCCTTCTCTCATCCTGGTGACCCAACTTGTCCTGGCTTCTCATTTGTCCCCAAGTCCTGCCCTGACCTTCTCTGGCTGGAATAATTCCCCAAAGTAGCCCCATGAAGAACCTTATACGACCATCCTCTGTTGTTTACGTTACATTTGGCCTTAGGTAAGTGAGGTCAAATGAAACAAAACTCCCACCCAGCAGCCATCACCTCACTTCCCTTTGTCAGACACTCCCGCTGACCTTGGAGTGAACTGACTGTGAAGCTTCTTTCAGTCTTAAAACAGGTCAGTTTTCATGGCTGGGAGGTGTGACCTTTCACACCACAGTCTCCGGAACAGGCTGCTGCTTGCCCCAGCATCTTCTCATTTACTGCAGGCAGCCATCACCAGTTCTCTGGGTGAACATGATTGGTGACTCTATATGTGTTGCTTGCAGGCATTTAAATTGGTATAATAACATTCCGGAGAACTATTTGGTGATATATATAAGAAAAGCCTTAAAAAATGTAGATTCCCCTGACCCAGTAATGCCACCCCTAAGAATTTATCCTGAGAAAATAATCAGAGATGCAGCCAAAAATGTATGTATAAGAATATTTATTGTAGTCCTAGTTATAATGGTAAAAAAAAAAATGAGAAATACTCCACAAGGACTGGGTTAAATAATTTATGGTACTTTTCTATAAAGGAATACTAGGCAGTCCCTTTTGTAAGGTGTACTTAAAGCATATTGGATGATGTGCATGATGGACATTCTCCTTTTGCCTTCCAGATTCATCCTGCACCACTCAGGCTCCCTGCCCTCTGAACTCCTTCTGGGTGTGTCCAGTGGGAAGTGCACCCTGAGGAGCGGGATGGCAGGATGGTTGTATAAGATTCTTCATGGGGCTACTTTGGGGAATTATTATTCCAGCCAGAGAAGGTCAGGGCAGGACTGGGGCAAAAAGGAGAAGCCAGGACAAGTTGGGGCACCAGGATGAGAGAAGGAGGCCTCAAAGTCAGAAGAGGAAGAGGAGGAGCAGGAGGAGCAGGAGAAGAGAGTGAGGAAATAGGAGGTGAGGAGAATAATGGGGTGGAGGAGGAGAAGGGTAAATCCAGAGCTGAGGCTGAGGGTCTGTGAATCCCCCTTCCCATAAACACAGCCCCCATCTGAGACCCCAGGGTTTCATTCCTGGGCTTCTCTACTCAAGGCAATCAATTTGGCCAGGTGGCATCCTCCTCCACTTATCCTCCCTACCTACTTACTTCCTGTTCCAGTAACTTCTCCCTCCCCTTGACTCTTTAGGATTAGGGTGGGAACAGCTTCATAGTGTGCGTACTCCAGTTTTATTTCAGCATCCCTTTTGGTCGTCTAATCTAGCCTCGTTGTTTAAAGGGAAACTTGTATCCTGCTAGGACCCTAACTGATGCAACGCAAAAAAAAAAAAAAAAAAAAAAAAACAAACTGTATATGTATATATAGTTCAAATATATATATATATATATATATATAGAGAGAGAGAGAGAGAGAGAGAGAGAGAGAGTGGTCAAATTGGGTTAGAAAACAGTACAATCCCAACTCTATAATAAATCAATATATTTAGAAAGAAAAAATATATGTATATATGTGCATATATCTACACATAGGAGAAAAAAGACTAGAAGGAAATAGACTGGATGATTACCTGTCATTGCCTCTGGGCTGTGAGATTGTAGGTGATTTTTCTTGTCTACTTTATACAATTCTATAATTTTCACATCCTTGAAAACAATTATGTGTCACCTTTAAAGTGAAAAATAAATTAAATAAATGTATACTTTAAAATAAAACTGAAGTAAAATAGAAGAGTTAGCTACACAGTAACAACATCATGGCACATCAGTCACCCACAAGTAGCACTGCAAATAATCAATTTTAAGTAAATTATTTGGCAAATTTCATGTTATCACACAATTTAGAAGGAAATATAAACATTTTAGAAGGAATTGTAACTAGGCCTTGACTATTATCAGCCACATCTTATCTAATGTTTCTTAAACCTTGGTAGTGCTTAATATAACCGCTTGCTGGGACTGGAATCCTTCACAAGCTGCACTTGTCCCAGCTCTGGCTTTGATTCTGAGTCCAGTTGTGCTCAGGATGGGGTGGGGACAGGGGACAGGGGAGCCTAGGATCAAGCTGACAGATTAGACCAATGTTTTGGCACCCTCCAAAGCATATCCTTAGATATGGTTCCACATTCATTTAGTGGGGATAGAGGAAAATCTGACTTTCCATTAGTAGAAGTCGTGTGCCTCTCTGCTCAAAGTGAGGGATGTATACAAACGTCAAACGCAGCATAACATTTTTACTTACTTGAAGTGGTCTTTCCTTTACTGTTTTTCTAACACTCCTAAATGGAGAGAGTTGGCTACTTACCCACTCGGGACAGAGGTAATGCATATATCGATATGGTTACAAACACTTGTTCAAAAAGTTCAAAAGTTGGTTTTATGTTTGTTTTGCTTCTCTTGGGGTGCGGTGGGGTGGAGTTGGACTTTCATGTGGGCAAAACTTTTCTGTAATGTTTGATGTTGTTCAGATGTCTTTTGTAGTTTCTAAGTCAGATGATTTCTTTTGAGATGTATGAAGGGGGTTACATTTTTAAGAGAGAAAATTAATTACTTGAACATAATAAATGCTCATTACGGAGGACTTCCTTTCAGAGTTTCAGCTCTCGGAGGCTACACGTTAAGGAAACGTTCAGGTGGCTGTCTCAGGTAGGGATGCAGCCTCCAGTGGCACTAGGCAACTTGCTTGAGCTGGTCACGAAGATGATAATGAGTAGCTAACCGTTATAAAGTTCCTGCTACATGCCAGTCTGGGGTCTAAGTGTTTCCTTTATGTCCGTTTAGTGTTCAGAATTGGCACTACTATAATTTTTATTTTATAGCTGAGGGAACAGAGCACTAGGAGGTGAAAGAAGTTGCCTAAGGTCACATATCCTGTGAGTAGTGGAACCTGGATTTGAACCCAGGCAGGTTGGCACCAAATCAGGCTCTAAGGCCACCAAAACTTTCTGTATACATCAGGAGTGTGTTTTATGTTTTGCTTGAGGATGGAGTGTACTTTGGCTGTGGTTTCCACTTCACCAATTATATCAAGAGTCTTGTGTGGAAAGCGGGGTTAACTGGCACCATCTTTCTGATTTATTCTTATGATCTTTCAGCTTCCCTCATAGATGGGTAGCTGGGACAGCTGCCCAGTTCTTCTGCCCCTAAATCCAGCTCTGCTGGGCATCCAAGTGTCCCCAGTCATGGCCTGTCAGAGAGGAAACATCAGACAGGATCTCTCAGTAACGGAGCCAAGAAAAGCTGCATCCTGCTGTTCCATGGGCTTTGAGTTCCTGCACACACTCTGCCTCCTGATTCGCGGAAAGAGAAAACCACATTTGAATCTTTAGGCATCCTCTGTAAATACCAGTTTCCTCCCAATCAGGAAGAGATTACTGCAGTAACCAAAGCCCCTCGTACTCCCTCCCGACTCCAGAGGTGAAGGTGTTCACTAATTACCTTCATCTGCAAAGACCATGTCTCTCTAAGCAGTGTGCCCTCAGCAGGACTTTTTAAAAACCTGCTGCAGGTTAAAAAGCAGACCTGCTCTTAATTTATTAAAAGACTTGGCATTTTTTTTTCCCCACTGAGCATTTTAAAATGCAATTAGACCAAACGGAATAATAATCAGGCAAAAGTACTCAGGAGTTTTCATGCTGGGGGCCACCCCTTCTCATGCTCTTTTCCATTTCTGGGTTTTATGTTGGGATAATATGCCCATGGAGCATGGGGATGGCTCGAGGGATGCATTCATGGCATCCCTCCCTCACCCCATCCTCATGTTCCTGCTGCCCCCCGGGCTCTCTGGAATCAACCTCTGGATCTCCACCCCACCCTTTCTGGATGCCAGGGGCTCCTCATCCTCACAGTTCTGCAGTGTGCAAGGGTCAGTCTCCTGGTTTGGGACATAGAATCACATTTTCCTCCAGACCAGGCTGGGACATCTGCGTTTTTAAACAAGTTCCCTAGGGAATTGTGATGCCCAGAAGCATCTGAGAGCCACTCTGAACTCCAGGAAGGAGGTTCGTATCTACCATTTGCTTCCTTGTATACTGAGCCCTGACACAGTCTGGAACACAGAAGCACTCGATGAATATTTATTGCATGAATGAATGGAATTTCATGAGACCTATTAGGGCTTTTTTTATGGAAGACAAAAAGGAAGTACAGTCCCACCTCACTCATCAAGGATAGGTATGAGGAAATGGAAAGTAAGGATGTGTCAGGAACCTCCTAGTTTTAATTAACACATTCAAGTATATACATGGTGCGCAGGAATTTTGTGGTGTACGTGACATACACCATGGGAGTACCCATGTGTTCCATGAATAGAAAACTCATACCCATTATTACCTTATAACCACTGGCATGAGCAGAATAGAAAAACAAATGGCAAACTTAGCTGGAAAAGGGCAAGATGC